CCCGACAATTCTGTTCATGTTGACCCCACATTAATCAACCCAAGTTTATTAATAAGGAATTGTTCCCCTCCAAAAGTGATGATTCCCCACTACACGCGGGGACAGCCCATTAAATTGGTTAACATGGGTTCATCATTACTGGCAACTGAACCCCAGGGTCCGCCCGTGGTGAACAATGGAAAGATCAAGGGCCCGGGCCATCCAAGCTGTAAGCGCCCACGTAGTTTGGGCTCACCTCATCCGCAAGAATCCCGCGGCTGGCTGGCGAACCGAGGGTGACGAAACAAACGGGTGTCTTAAAGGGGACATTTTCAAGTGTTTCCTTTTGACATCCCTCTAAAACCACAGCAAAAGAAGCAGCTCACAGAAAACACACCCAAATGGGAAGTAGGAGGCTACACATGCATACACATTGTTCTCTTGCAATCGATTTTGTTGGAACCCATTTGGGGACTGAGTTGAGGTGGTGGCTTGACAACGGCCCTCTTTAGGGGTCGGTAGCCAAATCTTGAGATGCTGCCCCATCATCTGAGGCCTCTTGAACGATAGTCACAAACACTTTCCAGAGGGATCCACAATTTGCGCCCATTGGCTCCACTTGGAGCATGCGCCCAGCGTCTGCTCCCGATCTCCAAACGCGTACCGTTGTTGATGATTGGCGTGGTATGAACAACAGCCATGCTTAAGGGCACCTGAGGTGAGGTGCCTTATGACCAATGCGGAAACTAGAAGCAGGTCCGATGCCTTTACATTCCCGAAGAAGGAATCTGAAACGCGAGCCCTCTTTGGAAGGATAGGTCACGGATGGGGGGTGGGGGGGGACGCAAAAAGTCTGGTTTGTGTTCTAAAGAATCGGAGAATCCCTCTAATGAATGAGTCTATACTTGTCTTCTGGTCATCTCGACCAGTGTGTGGTAGTTGGAGTCGCTGTGCAAGCAAACAAAAAGTGCATGTTGAAATACTAATGCAAAGGATCAGTCAATAATACTACTTGAACCATCCCGCTGCACATCCCAGAACTCGCTTATCAGCATCAATATCGACTGCTGATGCTAACGGCAACGGCTCCCGAAGCGACTACCACTCCTAAACTGGTCAGTTCGCACAAAATCCGTGCATCTCTGTCTCCCTGACAGGGATTGCGGAAAACAGCGGGCCTGTGTATGCAGCCTCATGCCTTTTTCTTTCTCCGGGACTTCCTTTTCGGGGTTTGACAAGGATCGACACCCGGATTTGTTTATGCTCCGATTTGGGGTGTGACTTCCTTCTTCGCGACCCAAAAACCCCGGCTTTAGGCCCTGGGTGTGACTCAACATTTCACAGATGAAATTACCCAGGTCTTGATCTTCCCTCCATCTACCAGGTGCCATTGCGGGGTTTTCCTTCTTTTTTTTTGGGAGCCAGCCTCCTGGAACGGGCCCCACAGCCTGGAAGTTCCCGGAGCCCTGGCACTGGCCCCGGGGCGCCGGGCGGGGTAGCCGTTGTATCTGGAGCCTCGGGCTTCCAAGGTCTCCGCCAGGAACGGCCCCGCGGGATCCTCAGGCCACACAGACACCGACAGCGCGCGACGAAAGGCGCGCGGGCTGCTGCCTCTCTGCCAACCGGAAGCTCGTGGTTTTAGACGCGGACCTTGCAGAAATCCCCCGCAAGAAACGAACAACTAGGTCCTCCAGTAGAGAGGTTAGAATAAGTTGGCACCCCTTTTTCTGTAGTTTATTTTAGTAGGGGAACCCTCCCCGAAAACAGAAACGGTAAAAGGGCCCTACCGGGGGACCTAGACAAATAACCAGGTAGAGGAACCACCTACAAGGCCTGCAAGCACTGAACATGGCCAAGAGGGGTTTTGCGGGCGCTGCTCGGCGGCCAAAGTACGACATCCAAAGAGAAGAAAAGCGCAAAACAAGGAAACCGGGAGGTGGCTCCTAGTTCAGCTGGAACGACTGTACCAAAGACTGCCTTGAAATGGATTGGTGACCTGGGTCACTCAATATGGCTGTGGGTCAAAACCAATGGGATCCAATTTTGGGATAGGTGCACCACTCATTGTAGAACCTATTTTAGTGGGGATTGGGATGTTCACTGGGGGTACGATTTGGATTTTGACCCATGACCTTTTTTTTAATATGTCCAGTAGTGATAGATTCCCTTTAAACCCAACAGAGGAAAATAAAAACTGAAGCAAAAGTAATCCAAACATGCCGCGGGTTTCGGGGATCGGGTCTGAGCAAGCCCGGCGCGCCAGTTCCAGCAGCGCTCTCGGCTGCCCAAAGGCTCCTTGGAGCGCAAGAGCCGCGCCTGGCCAACGACAGCGAGGAAAATTCTCTGGCCGGGTGCCGGGTGGTTCCTCTTAAAACATCACCCCAGGTACGAATGATTCATAAGGGGCCCGAAATGGTGGACATCGTTTAGGTGGGGATTCAGGTCCACCAATCACTTTCGAGATGGTTCCGTGTTAAAATTCACGGCCACTCCTATGGAAACTCGCCTTACCCACCCAGTGATGGGCCAAAAAAACAACAGGTTGGAAACATAGTTGCGCAGACCCTCTCCAAGGATTCCATGGCAAGGGTGTCCAGTGGCTTCCCTTGAAATGCCAGCCAAAACGGGGTTCCAAGTTCCCATTTAATGACGAGAACTCGTAGCGGGCTGCCTGGATCCAATCGTCGCAACTTGGAAGTAGTGTAAACAAAACGGGCCCAGGTAACTTGTCTTGTTCAAGTGGGCTCATCTCGTCAAGTGCCGTTTGTTTCCTCTAGCAGATTAAGACAGGCTCCGGAACTTCCGATGGGCGCGAGGATGCACGGTCGAATGTTGCGCCTGACAACCCTGCGTCCCCTCGGCGTCACAAACAATCATGGACCGGATTCAAGTTGATTTTTTATCGAAGCACCCATAGATTGGGTGACCCGTTCAACGGGTTCCAACAAATGGGTAGGACGGTATGCTACACACAGATTGTCTGGTGCGCTTGTTGGAGCCGTTTCTTACCCAGAACAGGTCTCCGATGAGAGAGAGGCTTTCGAAGCACCGCTTCGATGCAGTTGTATCTTGATAGGTCCTCAAAATTCGGACCATGTCCTGCAGGTGGCTGTACCATTTACTATCACCTGCAATGCCGTCCTAGGGTTCCGTATTCCAACACTGAAGCAATCCTTGGCGGACAATTCCCCATGCACATGATGAGCACTAAAGGGCCCGCCAATGAAAATTCATGCCCCAATGGGACGGGGGCCGTATTGAACTCCATCTTGTCAAAGAATTGCCCAAAAACAAACAGAAATAAAAGGTTGGCTTTTTTGGTACCTAGACTAAACAGAAACCAACATGGGAAAACCAAAAAGGTCAAAAGGTCGGTCTTGGGCAACCGAGCCTTTGAAGGATGTGGGGCAAAGGAACCGCCCGGCCGACTCGGAGTTCGGCGGGTTTTCGGGTCCCGCGCCAGTTTCCGGTGGATGGGCTGCGGCCAGGGCCACGCTGTGTACTCCTCGCTGGAGTTTGGCGCGGTGGAAACAGGTTTCCTCAATAAACTAGTTCCTCCAGTACAGAGGTTAGAATATGGGTACCCCTTTTTATGTAGTCTATTTTAGTCGGGGAACCTTCCCCAAAGAAGGGCAAAAGGGCAGTACTGGGGGACCTAGAGTTTCCTCAATATCATACTCCCGATCCATCCATGCAATATTTGCACACATTTACCCTCCAAATGGGTCAAATGATGATGAGTCAAATGTTAATATGACCTACATGATCTGGGAATCGGCAATCTTTAAGTGCAAAACCCCTTAGGAGTTCTTCCCTTCCAAGGAACCAGGTCTTAACACGACGTTTCTGGATCCCCTAAAAGTGAAAACTTTTGGTGGGATATATGTCATGAATCCCGCGCTGTACAAGTCCAAACGTCGTGGCAACCGCCAAGGTGAACCAAGGCTGTGACTATCTTGGCGGTTGGGTAGGTCTCAAAATGGGTGACTCCCCAAAACAGGTGATTTCCGTTGGTTTCCCTTCAACAGCCGAAAGCGGGTTCCCCCCAAAATTCTATCACCAATTCCGAAACCTGAAATAAACAAAGACTTGGACCCCAAGTACAAAGACCTACATACTGTGGATGGACGAAATCCTGCACCACTTGGAAACCATGGGAAACCATTGTTTGTTGGTATTTACAGGAGAATCCTCATTCTAGGGTTTCTTGGGTGGTGCGAAATGGATTTCGTCCATCCACATTGCGGGCACATTTCGACTTCGCAAAAGCAAGCTCAGTTCCGATGCTTCCAGGGATTTCCACCCGACTGAGCTCCTCAACAACCTGATCCAGAAACTCGGCGCTGCCAGTGTCGGGACCTGATCGGAAACCCGAAAACCTGAAGCTACTCCTTACCATCGGGTAACTTTTCCCATGTGGAAAATATGATATTTCGAGTCGTTTTCCCAATGGTTAAGGACCTTTTGATCAACCCCAGCTAGGTATATGAATAGTCATCCACAGTCAGTTTCCCTCGTAACCCCGGGTGCTGTCCAAAAGCAGTCGTTGGGGGTTGCTTATCTGGACAGGAGATGCGGGAAAGACTGTCAAACCCCCTTGCTTTGGGTGGGTGGTGTTAACGGCTTGCTGTAGAATTTCCCGCCAGAACTTTGAAGCATGATATTACAAGTGACTCGTGACCGAGACATTTCTGCGATGTCCCAAGTAGTAGCTTTCACATTTTTGGCAAGCCAATGAAGCCTGGGATTCGCACGCGCTGGTCGCTCGCCGACTTCGCACTTGAGATGACATGTGTGAAACTCTGCATGGATTTGGATCCTAATTTGTGGCAAAACACAAAGTTGATGCGCCAAGTCTGCTTTGGCCTTTCCATGCATCGCTTTACTCTCAAAGACTAGGGTCCCATCTCCCGCTACCTGACTGCAACAAACACGGAAGTGCAATTTGATCCCTTTTGCAACAAGAGCTTCCTCTTGAGTGACCTGTGCAAATCATTCGTGGCATAGCTTCAAGCATGCCAGGCAGGCCTCGGTTGATCGCCCTTGCCAGGAAAAACCTGGTGCGACGCGTTCGCAACAAAGACTACGCATGAATCTGCCGGACAGGTACACTTGGCCGTGGGTCAAAACCAATGGTACCAATTTTGGGCTAGGTGAATTCACCACCCATTTTAGAACCTATTGTAGTGGGGATTGGGATGCTCACTGGGGGTACGGGATTTTGACCCATGGCCACTTAAGTTCGACCGGATTTCCTGATGTTCCTGCTGAAGGTGGGACCATGTATGCACACGCCCTGTTTCGATATGCATTGACATCTTTTGCTGAACGGTTTCACCAACGCAGTCAGCGACCTCAGTTTAGACATTTGTGTCCAATTTGTAATAACCCGGTGGGCCAAGAACCTTCTGCAGCCACACTACATGCACTCGTGACTGTTGCGGCACACGCACTTCTGCAGCCATACTCCGCGCACTCGCGGCGGCCGTTGGGTACAAAAACGCAGTTGAGCCAGAATGAACACCTGCTAAAAGAAGGTCAGCCAAAAACCATCCAAAGAATTGAACAGGCGGCTCCATCAATGAGTGGTTGGGACTATCAGTCTGCCAGAAACCATCCAAGCAATTGAAAAGGCGGCTCCACAAGTAGTGGTTGGGACTCTACACCAAATAAGTCGTTGGGACTGACCATCCCTGGCCAACCTTCCTCTGCCCGGGTTTTGACTAGATCCTCCAGCAGAGAGGTGAGAATAAGGGTACCAACTTGTTTCCGTCTATTTTACCAGGGGAACCCTCACCAAAAAGTTGGTGAGAAAGGGCACTGGGGGACCTAGTTGAGCAAGTGGCCTTCTACTTCAACTTCCTGGGGCCTCCTACCCCAGGAAGTGGCACGCGGCTGCTGCCACAGGGCCCGGGTGCGTGGTGCGCGAGGATTCCTCGCCTTGAGAGACACCGGGCCCCATGCGGCCGAAAAGACCCAAGCACCCTCGGTGACATGAAACATAAGGCCAAGGCAAAACGACCGGGGTTGAAATAGTTTCGACATGGGAACCAAACTGAGACTGGTGAATCTTTTGAGATAGTTTCGACACTAGGCCCGTCTTCAAAACATCAACATGAGGTTTTGTGTTGAAGAAAAAGCGTTCCTGGCCTGAGAAATGTCAAGAACATGTTGCCCTGACAAAGGCGAATAACCAAATGAAACTGGTCACATCGATGCGCAATGCTGCGAGTCGGGGCCGAGCAACAGTGTTTGAGTCTGTATCAGCCTGTCAGCGATGGTCATGGACAACATTAAACACGGGACAAAAGGCTGGGCTTCCCCATTTTTCCGTTCATGAAGCATCACTTCTCGGCCCAAAAGGAAATGGTTGAACCCAAACATCACATCTAGGGAAGCCTGTTGATCTCTCTGAGCTCTGGGCTATACTCAGCAGCCTGCCGGGCAAATAGCAACGACTCCGAAGGTGCACAAAGAACGCCATCCTTTGTGCAAATGGTTGTTGCTTTCCATAGGGCACCGCTTTCACACGTCGTGCGAATCAGCACTGAATTGATGTCCAATCGAAGCATCCCGCTACGAAAAGTCACCCAAAGCCCAAATCGCTGCCGGGCACGCAATTGAGCCCGGTTGCTGGACCACTGCTTTCATAGCCTCAGGCATGGTTTGCTAGCAAAGCCAAGACTTTGCCCAACGACATGTGAGCAGCGCCTCAACCTCCTACCAACATGGCTACAAAGCCTCATAAAAAGCCTCCTGGGAACCTCCCTTAAAACTAGATAGTTGACTCACTTCCTGATTTGATTGGCTTTTGTCTGCACTAAAACGGCCTTCGCAAAAAGTTCAAAGTTCATGAACTCAGGGAGTGAGTTGATGCAAGAAATGGCCAATAGGGGTTTTGGGCGCTCACTTGGCATGCCACATGTTTCGCCCCCCGGCCTTGTCCGGACGCGTGCTGAAAAATATGGGGACCGGAGCCAGACCTGGCAGTTGACTCACCAGGTCCCGGGGAGTCTGGAAATCTGCTCCATCCCCTCTTGTTGCTCCATGTGGCTATGAATTTCCATTGGGAACCCAATGGTGCACATCACATTGGGATGTAGGCCACGTGCGGTCTGCAGCAAGTGAGGTCACATGGCTGCAAACAGGATGCCAGGATGCTCCTGCCTGACACGCCTCCTTTCGGCAATATAGGTACCAAGATCTATCGCATACAAGGGGAGTACTCATTACCCACATTGTTCTCCTAAGATTCTGAGGTAGTTTGGTTTTGTAGTACCTTGACAACCCAACTCTTCTTTTTGGCCCCCTGGGAGCACTTTGGCCGAGCGGCGCATGATAGAGCCGTTGCCGGCATCCTGGCGGCTCGAACAAGGCAAACGTGGCTTTCGCGAGTGGCTTCTGCGTGACCAACTGACATGAAAACATGGCGCCACTGTCCACGTGACTCCTTGCCCCAAGGGAGATGACGGTGGGGGACGCACGATTCTTGCTCTGGACATTGCAGGGAAGAAGGCTTAAGGCTTCACCATCCATGGGTGTTTCTGCTGCGCCGTTGGAACCCACCACCCAGAGCTTCTGCCTGTCTCGCCTCATCCGCAATCCCAATTCGGAGGGCCGGGAAGGCGGCTGAAATGAAATGAACCCTAAATGACATCCAATTGTTCACCGTCGGGAAACATCCCCAACCCTCTCTATCCATACAGTAGTTCCCTTGCACTTTCAAAGGAACATAGGAAAGCTATCTTTTGGGGGTACTCCCCCCCTTCTATACATCAGCTAGATGCTCGACTAAAGGCAAGTTGTCTTCTCGCGTCTCGCATCAAGCGCCTTCAAAGAAGCTAAGGGTCCACAAAATGTTCCCCACCACAACCCAAAACCAAACCCAAAAACCCAAAACATCCCAAAACCAAAAACAACCAAAAGAAGTAACCCAAACCAACCCAAACCGACCCCAAACCCACCCCCACTTGCGCCTGGCTACTGGACTCAAAGCGTGGGGAGGGGCTGCAATCCTGCACGTCCTGCGCATTTTGTTTTCCGATTCAACCCATCGGCCCATCGGCAACGGCGGCCGTTGCCTGGCTTCCTTTCTCGGGTAACCTAGGGAAACCCAGCGGCTTGTTTCTAGATCCTACCCTGAACGTCTATTGTTTCTCAGGAAAATACACATATTCAAGCTTAACATGCAACATGCACATCTGCATCTCACTTTTCGTTCTGTTTCATTGGTTTGGTTTTCCCGAGGATTTACACTTGTCCAAAGCATGCAAAAGCAACGAGTTGAACTCAGTTTGAAGCAACAGTGTCTAATTGTTAACAGAATTGAGAGTACCTTCTGTTGAACAGGGAAATCCCGTGAACACTCTAATCTGAAATAGAATACTTATCTTTACATTCTATGTGAAACTCAAATTATGATTGGATTGAGTGTAGTGTGATAATAATATTTAAGAATTCACAAGGAATGAATTCAGAGGTCCCAACATTGCTGAATAGATTGTGCTTAAGTGTTAAATGATTTTCAAAAGAACATCTACTGGCAAGGACACTCTGTGCAATATGTGAATTGAAATTTGACCAGTATGCATTCAAAACAATTTTTATAAGGTTGGATTCGTTCCTGTTAAGCTCTAATTTGCAGTTTGCACATGAGTAGAACAGTCATAGGGAAAGAATTCAATTGTCCCACAACCGTGTTTGTACTAGCCCCCTACCATGGACCAAAAAAAACGTGCTTCGTACTAGATGCTCATCTCCACCAACGGCCGTCACTTAAAACTTAACTAGAAGTTGGATAGGGTTTGAGCGGGATTAAATAAGGAAATACTTGTTCCGAATTTTACCAAACATGATATCTTAAATTTAGGCCTTAGATATGGTAAATGCAATTTCCCAATATAACTTTTGAATTCAGCTAGAATTTATATTTAGACTTTAAGTATGGTAAACTGAACTTTCAGCAAGAGGAAAACAACCATACTTTTTAAGGACAACATGCAATCATGGTCTTAGTCTAGATCAGAATTCAAATTAAAGTGATTGTGGTTCAAATTAGAGCTTGCCGGGGAGTTCCTTTCCGATATAATTTCTGTACAAATCATCGTTTAATTGGTATAGGATCCTCTGGAAAAAGAGCGGATCATGTCGGGTCCTTTAGGGACGTCGCGACATTTCCGCCGAGGCCCACAGAGGCGCTTCGGCCTTTGTCCTCAATGGCATCGGCAGGCCGCTGAAATAAGTATGGGTTCCTACACTTGGTTGCTGTTGAACCCTCTGCAAAAAGTTTAACTTTCGGTGGGTTTAGTGGCCAACCCCATTGATTTCCAAAAAAGTTAACGTCTAAAAATCCAACCTGATAGCAGCCAAGTAAAACACGGCACCGGCACCCCCAACGAGTGTTTGTTGGACAGCACTTCTGAGGTTTGGGACAAGGAACAAACCACAGTCGTTGGGAGGTTGCTGGTGAAATGAGCCCGGCCAAAACTGGACATGGGTTGTGTCTTGGTTGGCGTTGGAAGGGGAGCAAAACTCAAGTTTTAGCACTTAAGTGGGGATTTCCAACTAATTAGTTAAACCACACTAAGCAAAAATGTAAAATGTTTCCCAACAAGAACCATGGTGTATGGGTCCCATTTCTAGCTGGAAAACAGCTCAAGCCTTTACTTTTTACAATCCAGTTCCCGAAAGGCTTTGAGGCTTGAACTTGGATTCAGACCCCCCCCATTCCGGGCGTATCCCGGCTTTGCAACTAATGGGTACACATGATGTTTTGTTTCTTCTTCTTTTTTCCGTATGCCAAACTACATGGTCGTCCGTGCGAGAGATCGGAACCAATTTATTGATTAGAAGCCTCTGAACGGAATGGGTCCCTCGACGTGGACCTCATTCGATATATATGTTCCAGGGCGTGGACCCCCCCACTCCGTGGGGGCTCCCGTAACCGAGGCGCGCACTCGGCGAAACGCGTTGTTGTACCCCCGGTGCCACCAGTTCCAGAAGCGTACACGAATGTCTGCTCCGTCATAGCCTGCCATAGCGGCCCTCTTGGTTCGTGGGTTGTCCGCTTACCTAGGGCCCAACATCCAAGCCACGAACTAAGGATTGCCTGAGTGTAGGAGACCCTCTTTTCTTCGACCCAACCTTGGCTTTGACCCCCAACAATACAGGTGTGTGCTTGGAAAACAACAGGGGCCCCCGCCAAGTTTACGCTGCCCCATGCAGTAGCTGCACCGCAAAGAACTTCTGCGAATGTCACAGAAGGCAACCCAGAAAAACAACTTGGGACATGTTAGTCACCTAGGGGCCCCACCTGAAGTACAGACATATCAAACACTGCCTCCTATCACCGCTTCTGAACTTCGAGGTCGCAGCAAGAACCACAAACACCATTCTTCACAGCCAAACATCTACTCTCCAGGTGTGCAAAAGGATCCTACAAACATTTGGGCATGTGCTTTCCTTGGTGCTGATCTTTTCGGCGCAGTTAACGGGGCTTCCCATTTTTGACGCATTGGCTATTGGTATCCCCAGGAGAATCCCCACTTCCGAAACCCTGAAGTCGCCTTTGCAAGCCAGAAGTGAATCCGCGAGGCAAAGGCCCATGGAGGTGTCATCCGTCCACCTGCAGCTTTTCGATCACAAATCTAGGGGCAAACAAAGCATCCGTACGCAGACAACAACCTTACCATCGACATGGAGCCCAAAGTGTGGCTCCCAAAACATGAGATTCCGAGCATGATTATTTTGATGAGTTCCATATCAATTTACAGGAAACATATCACACTCTTTGTATCAACTACGTTGTTCCATTCATTCACCAATTGGCGCGTTAGTCCTCGAGTGCGCGTTTTACGGCAAGGTCTCGTTGGATCTCCCCCGGAAAGCGCCGACTGACCTGTCTTCGGCTGGACCTTCCGCGGAACCTTTCTGCAAAAGCCACTCCAAGCCACTTGAGAGCTTATCTGAGCAGAAACAAGACAGCTTTCAGCTGGGGGCAAATTGATGCTTGAGTCTGAATGTAACCCATTGATTCCATTATTTTCGTGTATAGTAGGTAAGCAAATGAACCACCCTTTCAGGGACCGAACGGAACATGGCTACCATGTAGAGGTAGCTGGGATCCATTGGGCAAAATCCATTCGAACCCTCAGTTGCCCAGTTTGGACCTGGAAATAAAAGGTCATCACCTTTTGGCACCTGGACCAATGGCTGTGGCTCAAAAAAACGGAATTCCAAAATGGGTTGCCCGATCGGTAAGTGGAAACATGGACCAAAACCTGCGGTTTGCCCCTCCGATTTAATTTTGAGCCACACGAATGGACCAAGTCAAGCCGAAAAGACAGATCCGGATTCGCTGTGAACCTGAGAAACAGCTCGAGGGCAAGGCTGGCCAGGCTTCAGCCTGAACTTGTTGAAGCTGCCTTCGACCTTAGCCCAGCTAGGTGACCTTCATGTCCTGCTGGAGTTCAAACAACCATTAAAGAACAGGGGTTCATATCACCACCATTGTTTACCTGAGGATTGTCATCATCCAAATTGGGTCCTTGCCATTATTTTCATGGGGGCTGAACCCTAGAGCTGTCTTTTGTTTGTACATGGTGGCTTCCCTTGCCTACGACTGGAAGTACTGGGCCCCTCTGGGGGCAAGCTCAAGAAGACAGCAAAAACGCACCGACACCAAGAGCAGGGTGGCGCAACATAAAGCGGCGATTGCTTGGTGGTCTGGGCCTTTCAGCGTATCCTTGGGATGATACCATCGGTGCTCGCTAGTCCCGGCCAGCGAGAAGCAATGGCACGATTTTTTTGGGGCGGGGGGTGTGCAGTGAACATGATGGCCCTATTGGGGGGGGAAGGGGGACATTGTCAAAACTCCCTGTGGCCAATCGTCATGGATCTCACAGCAAAGCTGAACCATGTTGTTATCCCTGTTCAGGGATGACCATCTCCACTCACATATCCGGCTTCAATAAGAGTTGATTTGCCAAACTCACCAAAACACCTTCGTTGGTGGCGAAGACACCAGCATGCCCATTGGCTCCTGCTGGCTGCGACTGTTCAAAGTTGCACCTCCCTGGATCAGGACCAGCCCATCAAGACCCTGATCATGCAGATTCCCCATTTCGCGTGGCAGGGCATACATGTGTCAACAACAGATGGAATCTGTCAACATCTGCATCAAGATACTGGGTTGCTGTTGACAATCTGCAAAAAACAACTTTTGTTGGTCCAATGCAAAATCCACTGTTTCCAAAAACAATAAAATCCAAAGATCCAACCAACAGCCATGAATAATAATTCACTACTCACTAACCTGAAATGAGGGGGCCTTCGTCGGTGAGGTTAGGCAAAAGAGGCCCTGCCTTCAGGGTCTGCGGGTTGAATCGCGAGCCCTGGCTGTTGCCGAGTGGAATGATGCCGCTTTCTGCGCCAAAGTGAAAGTTGATCTCCATCAAAACATGACATGTTTTCCCAACTTCAAGGGGAGTTCCCGTGAAAACTGCGAAATGAAATTGGGCAAAGAACACCAACCCTTTCGCACAAACCATAGGTTTTTAAAGCAAATGGACATGTGTTGGCTCATCTCCCAATTTCTGTCTAGATGTTTCTCATGAGGACCAATCCCTCCAGGTGCATTGCTTCCACTAGGTTCCACGGAGACCACGCTGGCAACCTCCCTGGCACCAACAAACCATATTTCTGGGTTGTCCTCAGATCCCCCGCGAAAAGTTTGACTAACTTTTAGCAGGCCAAATGGAAAACCCCACTAAACAGCTGAAAAGCTAAAAAGCCAAGCAACCGGATGGCTGGGAGCCACCAAGATACTTTTGGGTTGTTCAGCAACCATCCTTTGCACGCGCAAAACAAACGGAGGCATCCATCAGAAGGGTCTTCGGCCACGGATCCTTCAGCGCGAACAGCACGCGGTTTTTCCCCTCAAGCCGGTGGGCCATGGCCGTTTTTTTTGGTCGGATCCAAAGTGGGCCATCTCCAGGACGAGTTTTTCAGTTTTTCCATTCTTCAAGGGGATATCTTGGCATTTTTTGAAAACTTTCCACAACCCCGCACAGGCATGCGTTGGATGGATCCAATGCGCGAAGTCGCTGGACATGTGTCTCCCGTCTAAGCTGCTGGGCAAAAGAATCAACATGGCCGCAATGGTATTTTCGCTTAAAAAATCCAAACTTAAACCACTGCCACTTCCAATGCAAGCGGCATTTGACTCATGCCCTCTTAAGAGGAGATTGGTGTCGCAGGAGTCCTGCCTTCCGTTCCTGAAAGGGGGACCAAGCAGAAACACCCACCCCCCCTGGCTCAAAAGAAGGTTTTTGCTCTACACATTCCCTAACAAAAACGCCAGTATCTCCATGATGTTGTTCTCTCTAAATGTAGCACCGCTGGGTATACATGAATGTGCCAAGCCGGATCTTCAGCGCAGGCCCCGAAAAAAGCTCGCCCCGAAAACTCGCCCCCGCCTTGGTGCCGATGGGCACGAACTCCAGGAAGGCGCCCACGGAGTCGGCCACCGCCATGCCCACCATGGCGCCCACCTCGGAACTTTGTTCGATCGGAGCGGGTCGATCGGACTGCGGTGGACCACTCGGGGAATTTGTCCAGGGTTGTGTCAATTGGGGTTTTGCGTCAAAATTTGGGGTTGTGTCAAAATTAAGCAGGGTTGTGGTTGATCACTCGAAATGTTTATCCGCTCGGAACTTCTTTGATCGATCGGAGCGGAGGGGTTGTGGTTGATGACTCAGGGTTTATCACTCGAAATTTGTCCAACTCCTGTGATACAAGGCAATGGTTTCTTATGGGGGGGTTGGTCTTTCGGATCGAGGCCACTTTTGTTGTATAGAAGTGGCTTCCCTTTCCCACAGCCCTCGGAGCGGACCTGGCATTGTAACAATGACTCGGACCTATGGGGGTTCGCCTTGCCTAGGTCCGATTTGAGAGGTTTGGTACTCGATTTGTTCTGTCTGCTTTAGTAGGGGAACCCTCCCAACGAAAAAAGGAATCGGTGAGAAAGGGCACTGGGGGACCTAGATGAGGAAGCCATGGGGGAGCTACTTCAAGGGGCAGTGTACGTCAGGTAAGTGGTTAGTACGCCTGGTGAGATCACCCACACGGAGACTTATAGCCATGATGCTTTTGTGGGTTATAACTATGGCTGTTGCCCACTTACTAGGTACCCTGCCCCTTAAGTAGGGAAACCAAAGCTGGGGAAACTTGCATGATTCCGCTTCATGCTTCGTCTAAAACAAACGTAAATTTCAAACAGACCCCAGCAAAGGGACACGAAAGGAAAGCCGCCGTTTTACTTAAAGGGTTCTTATATCTTGCACAACCCTTTTCAAAACGATCAAGCTATTTCTCACATCTTGAATGGCCGGGCCAAAATCAGTCACCAAACTTTTGGTTTGCCACTGAAAACTAGGTCCTCCAGTGGAGAGGTTAGAATAAGTTGGTACCCTTTTTTCTGTAGTCTATTTTAGTAGGGGAACCCCCCCAACGAAAAAAGGAATCGGTGAGAAAGGGCACTGGGGGACCTAGATGAGGAAGCCATGGGGGAGCTACTTCAAGGGGCAGTGTACGTCAGGTAAGTGGTTAGTACGCCTGGTGAGATCACCCACACGGAGACTTATAGCCATGATGCTTTTGTGGGTTATAACTATGGCTGTTGCCCACTTACTAGGTACCCTGCCCCTTAAGTAGGGAAACCAAAGCTGGGGAAACTTGCATGATTCCGCTTCATGCTTCGTCTAAAACAAACGTAAATTTCAAACAGACCCCAGCAAAGGGACACGAAAGGAAAGCCGCCGTTTTACTTAAAGGGTTCTTATTTCTTGCACAACCCTTTTCAAAACGATCAAGCTATTTCTCACATCTTGAATGGCCGGGCCAAAATCAGTCACCAAACTTTTGGTTTGCCACTGAAAACTAGGTCCTCCAGTGGAGAGGTTAGAATAAGTTGGTACCCTTTTTTCTGTAGTCTATTTTAGTAGGGTCCCGAGCCCTCCCAACGAAAAAAGGGGTGAGAAAGGGCACTACTGGGGGACCTTGTAAAGGAAACCAAACTCAGGAGTGACCCGCAAAGGCCATCCACTCCGCCTTCATGGGGAGGGGTTGGGCCCCTCAATTCCGATCTCGTCTCCGGCCCAGAAATTAACTTCCATTTGGTGAAGGCCCCAGGAAAAAACACAACATATTTCCAGCAGTGATGAATTCCTATGAAGACCAACAAGGGAAAATAAGACATGTTCTTCAGCATATTTAAACATACGTCAGGAATAAAATACAACAAGGGAAAATAAACAAGCAAATTGAAAAAACAACTACTTCCAGTAGTGATGAATTCCTATGAAGACCAACAAGGAAAATAAGACATGTTCTTCAGCATATTTAAACATACGTCAGGAATAAAATACAACAAGGGAAAATAAACAAGCAAATTGAAAAAACAACTACTTCCAGTAGTGATGAATTCCTATGAAGACCAACAAGGGAAAATAAGACATGTTCTTCAGCATATTTAAAAACATACGTAGAAAAAATACAACAAGGGAAAATAAACAAGCAAATTGAAAAAACAACTACTTCCAGTAGTGATGAATTCCTATGAAGACCAACAAGGAAAATAAGACATGTTCTTCAGCATATTTAAACATACGTCAGGAATAAAATACAACAAGGGAAAATAAACAAGCAAATTGAAAAAACAACTACTTCCAGTAGTGATGAATTCCTATGAAGACCAACAAGGGAAAATAAGACATGTTCTTCAGCATATTTAAACATACGTCAGGAATAAAATACAACAAGGGAAAATAAACAAGCAAATTGAAAAAACAACTACTTCCAGTAGTGATGAATTCCTATGAAGACCAACAAGGGAAAATAAGACATGTTCTTCAGCATATTTAAACATATGTCTATGAACAACAAATACAACAAGGGAACAATAAACAAGCAAATTGAAAAAACAACTACTTCCAGTAGTGATGAATTCCTATGAAGACCAACAAGGGAAAATAAGACATGTTCTTCAGCATATTTAAACATACGTCAGGAATAAAATACAACAAGGGAACATAAACAAGCAAATTGAAAAAAACAACTACTTCCAGTAGTGATGAATTCCTATGAAGACCAACAAGGGAAAATAAGACATGCTCTTCAGCATATTTAAACATACGTCAGGAATAAAATACAACAAGGGAACATAAACAAGCAAATTGAAAAACAACTACTTCCAGTAGTGATGAATTCCTATGAAGACCAACAAGGGAAAATAAGACATGTTCTTCAGCATATTTAAACATACGTCAGGAATAAAATACAACAAGGGAACATAAACAAGCAAATTGAAAAAGCAACTACTTCCAGTAGTGATGAATTCCTATGAAGACCAACAAGGGAAATAAGAGACATATTCTTCAGCATATTTAAACATACGTCAGGAATAAAATACAACAAGGAACATAAACAAGCAAATTGAAAAACAACTACTTCCAGTAGTGATGAATTCCTATGAAGACCAACAAGGGAAAATAAGACAGTTCTTCAGCATATTTAAACATACGTCAGGAATAAAATACAACAAGGGAACATAAACAAGCAAATTGAAAAACAACACTTCCAGTAGTGATGAATTCCTATGAAGACCAACAAGGGAAAATAAGACATGTTCTTCAGCATATTTAAACATACGCTAGGAATAAAATACAACAAGGGAACATAAACAAGCAAATTGAAAAAGCAACTACTTCCAGAAGTGATGAATTCCTATGAAGACCAACAAGGGAAAATAAGACATGTTCTTCAGCATATTTAAACATACGTCAGGAATAAAATACAACAAGGGAACATAAACAAGCAAATTGAAAAAGCAACTACTTCCAGTAGTGATGAATTCCTATGAAGACCAACAAGGGAAAATAAGACATGTTCTTCAGCATATTTAAACATACGTCAGGAATAAAATACAACAAGGGAACATAAACAAGCAAATTGAAAAAAACAACTACTTCCAGTAGTGATGAATTCCTATGAAGACCAACAAGGGAAAATAAGACATGCTCTTCAGCATATTTAAACATACGTCAGGAATAAAATACAACAAGGGAACATAAACAAGCAAATTGAAAAAACAACTACTTCCAGTAGTGATGAATTCCTATGAAGACCAACAAGGGAAAATAAGACATGCTCTTCAGCATATTTAAACATACGTCAGGAATAAATCCAGCAGTGATGAATTTCTTTTAGGACCAACACGGGAAAATAAGACATACTCTTCAGCAAATGGAGGTAAACAGAGATCTCCACAAATTCCCAGGGCCTTGACACCGTCTGCTGCCTGCTTCGCTTCACGAGTCTCCGAGCTCCTTGCAGCTCTCTGTGCCGAGACCTCCTCCTCTGCAAGGCGCAAGACCTGACCGGCGGGAGGGAGTTTTTTTTTCTTTTGTTTTTTTTCTTTTTTGTTTTCTTTTGTTTCTCGTTTTCTTTTGGAGTTGCTGCATGGGCTGGTTGCACATGCGCGAGTGGCTTCAAGAGGCATTTACTCAAAGATCGAGATGGCGTGAAACCAATTGGAAGGCAGGTTGATGGTGACCGGTTTGCGTGGAGGTTGTTGGTTGGTTTTCTTCGGAAAACCGACAGGAAACCGTTGAAATTTCAGCCTGTCTCTCATCATATGTCTTTTTTGGGGCACTGTTTCTGGTGGAGTAGTGCAATTCAAAGGAAAACACGCAGTTTGGCTGATTGCCTATGAGACAAACCCATACTGCTTGGACCAAGCGGGAACCTTAAACCTGCACAAATGCATTTCCTTGCCCTTTGTGTATGAGTGGGGGGTGGATTGTCCAACCGTCCATTCATGTGCTTTTTAGCGGACTCCCACCCGAAATGGTGGGCTTCCGTTTGGTTGTCCTTCAACATCAAGGGCTACGCTCAAAAAGCAAAAAACACGGGGCACGTACCCTCAACAAAGAGACCCCCATTTCTGTGTGTGTGTGTGTGTGTTTTCTTCGGGAACCCTTGGAGAATTGGCAAGGGTTGGAATATAAATTTGGCGCCTGGTTTTCAGGGGCCCTGTGGTTTCAAACCGCAGGTCCCACGATGACACAACTCCGTGGGCGGATTCTCTGGCTTACCCTGGGCTTCAAACCATGAAAACCCCTGGGTTATAAGTTCACACACAAACACCCTTGGGGACTGAAGGGGTTTCGCCATCTAAATTGGGTCAATCAGTCTTGCAATGGGGGAAACGAACCCTATGAACGAGCCAGCAGGCCAAGGCTATTCTCTGGAACCCTCACAAGAAAAGGATCGCGTGCCTGAGTGCCTAGAAAATAAGCCCAAGAACACCCAAAGGATGTATTGAAAATTATTCATGCATAAAGGAATCTCACCTCAATTGTTTAAATCCACCTTGGTTGTCATTTAAGCAAGCAAAGGTAACCTCAGCAAAACTTCAGTTTAGCTGAGTTGCTGGCTGGCAAACGCCTAAACACTGTTGGCTCTTGACTAAAGTGATGAAGACTTGGTTGACGTTGGAAGGGGAGCACAAAAATCAATTTTGGCAGTTAAGTTGGGATTTCAAGCACTAAACCACAATAAGCAAACATGTAAAATGTTTCCCAACAACATTCATGAAGAAGCCGAAGACTGAGCCGGAAGAGTTTCATGGCCCTGTCCGCCTCCTTCTTCACCAGCGGCGGCACGTCATCGAGCACGCTGAACTGCGATAGATCCGGTGCCATGCTGCCTGAGCGTAAAGAATCATGAGGGCCGCACCTCTTTGTGGTTGGGTAATTATCTTTGGGCTTTCTGTGGTGTCCCTTTGTCTCGCCCCAAACTGCAGAATCGCGTTGGCAGCATTCTCCAGCGAACAATGCACTGGCTGTTCCCTGAAATTGGGCGTACACTCCTGTCCATGGCCGTCTGGGACCCAACAAGAGCCGATCAAAATGTATTGTTTTGCTTTGCCGACATGGTTTGTTTTGGTTTGGGATCCAATATTGTTTCTGGGATCCAATATGGTTTTTTGGTTGGTAAGGTTGATATAGGGATCACAAAAAGCCCAGCACTGAACTCGCCAATTGATGGGATGGGGCGCTACCTAAAGCGGCAGGGATCAGGCTCCCCGGCCAACATCCAGCCGATCTTGACCTCGGGCGTGGAATCGGACCGGAGGTGACAATCTGGCTCGGGTTGCGCCAACTGAAAATGGATGATGGGCATTTGAGTCACTTGCTCAAAGCCCGGTATAAAACTGGTCGTAATCCCAGAACCATGCTTCAAGAATTAAGAAGGCGGAATTCCGCAGCTATCTATGGTTGGGAGTGTCCCTTACTAACGTTCATCTACCCAGGTTTTGATTGTGGCTCATTTGGGTGTCTCTCTGTTTAGAGGGCCTCCAAAATGGTGGTTGTCCTGTTGGTTCTCCGTGAACACCACAAACAAAATGGTACCCTTAAAAAAGACACAACCATCCGGGCCAACCACCATTCCAATAGCCTTGAGAAGGTTTGGTGGACAAAAATCTCCGTATAAGCCATGTCCAAAGCACCCAGTTCCAGACAGGGCTCAAGAAAACTTTCCCCATCACCAAAAGCAGACTCACCTATGGACGCTGAAACTTGGCAAAGGAGTTTTTTCCTGGCAGCCGGCTGAGGTGTTTTTTTTGCATAGCCCTGGCATTCGCCTCACCCTGGCACAGCCTGGCGTGCACGAAAGGAGACACTCACGGACAAAGGTTTGGGGTGGGTTTAGTCCGTGGGTTGAGGCCCATCGTGTTCTCCTCACCAGGCGTTGGTTTATGGTTTAGGGTGGGTTCCAGGTCTCTTTGGCCCCGGGGTTCCATGCTTCTAAGCCTTGGGTGGTTTAAGGTTGGGTGCGACCGAAGCCAATTTTAAACCCACCCCAGCCCTAAACCCACCCGAGAACCCCAAGAAGCCCCATAAGCCAGCACTGAAACCATCTACCTCAAGCACAGCCACCCCCAAATGTGCTCTCAATAGGCCTGGAACCCACCCGGGGCCAAGCCTGAGCCAACCTGGAATCCACCCTAAACCCAACCTAGACCAAAGCCTGGTGATGCTGAGGATGTTGAAAACGATGCTGAGGATAAAACAATGCCTGGCCTCAACCTACCCCTACCGAGGCATCAACCAACCAACCAACCAACCAACCAACCAACCAACCAACCAACCAACCAACCAACCAATCACCTGCCAGGGTTAGCCCTGTGCCAGGGCTAGGCAAAAAACAACAACACCCTTTCCCTGGCAGCCCTTCAAACAAAAGCATGGATTTAAACATGACCCCTAAACTACCATAACTGCTGGTAGCTTCATAGGGGTGTGCCCCTCCAAAAGTGGCCTGATTCCCCACGCAACCCAGGTGGACACCCGCTAAGGGGAGAGCCTCCCAGGATAAACCTGGCGCCCATTGATGCCTTGGGCGCCGGGCACAAAAAACCCATGGCCCGCGCAGTCTTCGCCTGAAAGGCCTGGCGAAGGCCCGAGGCAAGCAAGCGGCAAGCGGCACGCGGTGTTGGGAGGAAGTGGCGGCCTGGGGTCTCTGGTAAGTCCTGGCATGTCTTGAACTGTTTCTTGCTGCTGCGATAGGTATGTGTTTTGTTGTTTACTTGCTGCGATAGGTAGGGAATGACCGAGTCGGGGGGAATGAAGGAAACCACCAGTTAGATGGTTTATAGGAAGCAAGTCTTTGGGGGATCATATTTTTTCAGAAACCCACCAAACCGACAACTTTGGTACTGCCACCTTCCCAGTGACACGCTCTAGCTCCGCTTGCGACCATGAGAACAAACAAATATACGGCTTACTTGCATCCTTTCAAACCAAAGACGCTCTCAAAATCTAAGAGACGTCAACCTTGAGACCTCGACAATTAAAATACTTCGCTTCGAGCAATCCCCACCCTCCACACTCACGAGCTTACGACCGTTGCAACAAATTCCTCCGCATCCTAGAGACTTCGACTCCAAATTCCCATCGGCCCTTTTGGACATTAAGCAAAACCAGACAGGCGAGCTGCTCTGGTGGGATACTGGCGGGATCCACTGGCGAATACGCTCCGCCTCGATACTGGCCGGATACTCGGCAGGATCCACCGGCAAGGGATACTCAGCGGGATACTCGGCGGGATCCACTGGCAAGCTCGGCGGGATCCACTGGCGGGCTGCTCTGGTGGGACACTCGGCGGGATACTTGGCGGGATCCACTGGCGAGCTACTCTGGAATACTCAGCGGGATATTCCTCTGGTGGGATACTCGGCGGGACTGGCGAGCCGCTCTGGCGGGACACTCGGCGGGATCCTCTGGCAAGCCGCTCTGGCGGGATACTTGGAGGGATTCACTGGCGAGCAGCTCGGGCGGGATACTTGGCGGGATCCACTGGCCAGCTGCTCTGGCGGGATACTCGGCGAGATCCACTGTCGAGCCGCTCTGGCGGGATACCCGGCGGGATCCACTGGCGAGCCACTCTGGCGGGATACTCGGCGGGATCCACTGGCGAGCCGCTCTAGCGGGATACTCGGCGGGATCCACTGGCGAGCAGCTCTGGCGGCGGGATACTGGGCGTGGCGGGATATCCGCTGGCGAGCTGCTCTGGCGGGATGCTCGATGGGATCCACTGGCGAGCTGCTGTGGCGGGATACTGGGTGCGGGCGTGGTGTAGAAGCATCGCAAAGGCGGATTCCAACATAAAATCTAACAACCCCTTCCTGTCGGGTGGGGAAAAATCCAGAAACACCCTCGCCGAACTGGACAAATTAAACACACGTTTTTGTTGTGATTTGTTTGTCATTCATGCCTCCAAAGGACCGCCTGAATCAGTTCGTAGTAAGGCCTTGTGGGGAAACAGAGGAAATTCCGCTCGGGCCCAAACCAGGGCCCCAGGGTACATCAAACATCTGCTTTTCAGATTCTGCCGAAATTTCCGGCCTTTGAGATGCGATGTCTCATGGGAGACCTTTCCGAGGCATGAGGGCTTAGCCTGAGGAAGAGATTGGATCGCATGACTTCACAGGGGGCCAGGCTGTTTGGACCAACTGGGTGTCGTTTTTTGGGGGACCCTTCAAACTGGTGGTGTTCCCTTGGTTTTCCTTTAAGCAAACCGTCAAACCGGGGTATCAAACCAAAGCCACCCACCATTTGAGCTCGCAAACCCCTGTGCCTCCGCCTCTTTCGCGGGCTTCGGCTTGGGACCTCGAAATGACCGTCGAATATGTTCTGGGTGCAGGAATAAGAAAGGGGCATGTACATAGGGTATGGCCATGGGTCAACAGCCCGTACCCCCAGTGAACATCCGATTCAATCCAACCACTGAAATAGGTTCTAAAATGGGTGGTGAATCCACCTACCCCAAAATGGGATACCGTTGGTTTTGACCAGCCATATAGGTGGTCTCCATGACCCTTATAAAATGGGTCCATGACCCTTAAAAACTGGGGTAATGACCAACCATTTTTTGAGGGTGGAGACTCCAGGTATAGGTATGTGTAAGAATAGGGGGCCACAAACATGTCTCCTTTTGGCTTCCTTCAAACCGATCATTCCTCAGAGACACAAGCCCATTGAATTTGATATATGTTTTATACAAGTTAGCCATTCGGCCAGGCATTCTCATCTTGCGGTTTACATCATTTACATGGTGGAGTTGTGTCCACCGACGCTTTGTCAGGGACCCCGAATTTACCTGTATACCCAAATCGTGGGTGTTTCTTAAAATTACCCCTGCAATTGGTGTATCTTCTGCGGCTTCCTTTCAATACCATCCAGGTGCGCAATTCTTGATGCGGACCCCTGCAGCGTCTCTCGGGTTTTGTACGTAGCCACCCACGCCCTGCAGAAGAAAAAGCAACCGGCACATGGGCTTCCGACACTTGCGCCATGGAAGACAGCAGCTTACCTGGAACAGGCAAACCAGCCAAAGCCATTTGGGAGTGGGTCAAAAAAAGGTTCTCAAATGGCTTGCCCTGGCAATTGGAAACATGGACTAAAACCTGCGGTCCAATTCCTGGTGCTTTAATCTGACCCATGCCCATTCGTTCCAATCGCAAGTCCTTCACCCCCAAAACGATCAGCTTTCAAACGAAAAGGGCCTCTGGTACCAAATAGACCAGCTGTGCCTCGATTTGTCATGGCCTGTAAAATATGCTTACCAAAAAAACAAATCACATGCAAACAACAAAAACACAACTTGAAGTGATTGCCGCCCATAGAAAAGGTGGTCTTTTGTCACATTGTCCACCCTTACATTGATGATTCTCAGACTACTACAGGCATGGATCTAGGCTAGTCAGGCTACTATGAGCCCCCTCATGAACTATCCAACCCCGGATACTTTTGCTGGCTTCATGACAATCCCGGGCAACTCAAAGTAAGCAGTTTCATTCAAATGGGTGTGTCTTTGTGCGAGGGTATCCCTTGTTTGTGGCTGTAAAGGGAAACCAAAAAGGACAACTCCCCCCAAACATGACTGTCCAACTTGTCGGAACCCAAAAAAAAGAAGAAAACCCACCCAACGGACGGCACATGCGCGGCTCGACGGCACTTTCTCTGCGACTCTCGCCTTCGCCATGAGCGAGGAAAATGGCTCGGCCGCATGAGCCGAAGATGCGAAGGCGACGCGCGCGAATGGCTGTGGCTATGGGCGGAGGCTGCCTGGTTGCTCCGAGATACGGGAAGCAGCCGAAAAATGTGCAACCAAATTCCACGAGTGCGTTTTGATTGTAATATAATGTCATAAGTGGAGGTGGAGGTGAAGCAACCTAAAAACTATGAAATCAAATCCCACCAATTCTGCCTTTTGAGCATATGTCGAGGTGTCACGCTTGGCCTTTTCACCGAAAATCCAGCGGCCCCAAGGGCTACTCTTTAGGGTGCCAACCGCAACAGGCTACCCCCCCCCAAAAAAAAAAACAAAACCACAAAAACAACACAGAAAAAAGGATTCCAAAAAGAGTTTGACACACCCTCCAAAAAGGCATACTAGTAGCAAATCTTTGGATGTTTGGACTGGTGTGAGTGACGCCAGTCAAACCCCTTCTGACAGCACTGACAATGAACATGTGACACTGACCAGATCATCGCTGACAATTGGCCCTGTCAATGGGCTCGTAAACGGCCAATAGAGAGCAGTGTTTGCCTAATGGACTGTCTCATGAATGAACTTCAAAAATGTCACCCTTTGAACATAGGACCCAAAAGAGGCACATGTTCCCGCATGCCCGTTTCCTGGTGGGAAATGGTGTAAGCTCCCTCCACGGCCCTCTCAAAAAAACCGTGACTACTGACATGTTTGACAAAATGTCACGTTTTGAAACCACTATTGTTCAAACAACTTCCGTAGGTCGCTTCGAAGAGGACAACTGGTGTCTTTAGTCAAGTTTTGCCTAACCCTAGGGCAGTGTATTCACAGGTGCGCTGCATCTCACGCCGATTGTACGTTGACGCTAGAACCACCAATCTGTTCTGAAAAGGCTGTTGTGCATATACGTGCGTCCATATATGTCGAGAGAAATTCGCAAAGAAGGTCACGAGCAACATGATCTTTTGTGAACACGTTCATGACATCCTGGGACTATCTAAGCCTCATGCTCACTTCCGCACATAAACTTCAGAGGCTCTGCTTTCTCTTAGCCTCAAAATGCAAAGTAGGGCATCAACATCCACCATTTGTCAATCTCTGCGAAGCCGACGCCACACACACACACACAACAAAATGAGCAATTCGAAGGAGCCTCTCGCAAAATCAAACACAACAGCACTCCCATGACTGGTTTTGCTACCTGGGGTTCATGCACTCAAATCCTCAAGCGCCGCGCCAGCTCGATGCTCCATGCTCCAAAAGTAGCATCTGCCGCGAGAGCGTGGCCGGCTTCGATGCAACTTGTCAGCTTCCCAGTTCATGTTTTGCATTGGCGGTCCCAAGAGACATAAAGTCTGGGAACTTGATTTCAACTAACCGTGGTGCAATAAGGACCGTCCCCAATAGAACTCAATACATACTCGCAATCAGATCACAATTTTGTTGGTACTCAACACCTTGCATTTGTTCGTTTGCTGATTGGCACGTGGTATTGAAAAGCAAAAACCAAAAAGCAACTCCCTGCACATGCTGTTCCAGGCCAACCTGTAGCTGCGATTGAGTATCTTCACAAAGTGCGCACCCGCGCTTGGCGCCATCAACACTGGTCACCCCGGCGACGCCTTCTTGGCTGGGCCACAGCCCACAGTTGATCTCCAATGTTGGTTCACTGGTGCATATTGCAAAGAGTCAAGGGCTGAAGGTGTGCATCCATATTCTAACATATGGCTAGAGTGGTTAACCTTTTGGCAGCTTTTGAGACCGCGTCATTCCATGACAAAGAGCTTCGCCACATAAAAAAATGGTACCTTTTCTTGTCCTCCTGTTGTTTAGCTGGCGTGCAGGATCACGGACCAATCTAATCTGAGTGAATCATAATGATTCAACAATCCAATAGGAGGGTCCCCCCCCGGTTACTTTCCAAGGTTGCAAACCAAAATCATTTGCCCAAATCCAACGCTGATCTGTACTGCCTAATCCAACTTTTCCAATTTGCCCAAATTGACATACTGCATCGAACTCCGCAAATTGACACAACACCTGAAAAAGGGTCCCACAAAAATGAGCTTTTCCTCTATTCCTCTACAAAAGGGTGGTTTTCAGGTTCCTTGTTGATTTGCAGGAAAGTATCCACTCCCCCTCGTGATACGGATCGCTGTCGACGCAAAGCTGCAACACCTGCCTGCCCATCGTCCTTGAGCACGCGCCGCATTTCCTGCAGGGCCTGAGGCCAACAAAGAGGAGAGCTTGAGGAGACTCTCCCTCGTGACTGGATTGGCAAAACAAAGTGGTAAAACATATGAAGGCTTTACCACTAACACGGTCTTACCAAAAAAACAGATGCCCAGCAATTAGGAATGAGGAACACATCGCTCGCTGGAAAGGCTCGATGAACTCGTCTGATTCCCCCTCAGGTGAACCCCCCAAACATCCATTGGGGAAGACAAAGATCGACTACACTAAAACTTCATGACTACGCAAATGCTTCGAACAAATCTCCAGATCATCCAGTTTCCAGCATGCCCAGTTTCCTGCTTTGGCAGGTCGCTAAGGGGGTTCTCATGCTTGAAACCCAAGAGCAAATGGCTGGCTACCTTTCTTGTGGAAAGGGGAAAAACCGTGTTTATTCTTAGCTTGAGCCTGTCGACCGAGCCGGAGCATCTGCTTGAGTCCACAACCTGAATTGAGGTATCCTCAAGCAAAGGACTTGCCGTTATTATGGCTTTGCGTCGCTTGTTTTACCCCCAGCTCAGACAATTCCGCCTGCACCGGCTCCTCGAAAGAGCAGATGCCAAAGGTGTCCACGATGGTGTCGAAGGAGTTGTCCTGGCGCATCGGCTGGCTAGACATATCCAAAAGACGTTGGCTTCAGCGTTAAACATAACAAGAATTGTTCAAAAATACAACCTTTCAGACACATACCAAACGGTTAGGCTCGATAACCCTAGCACTTCTTGGCAAACGAAAAACTTCCCCGCCAACCAAAATAATCCGGCTGATACTGGCCGAGGCGGGCAGCGCGAAGCGTTTACCTCAACCCCATGTTGCACAACCCTAATGTTTGCCAAACTTTGGGGTGCACCAAAAAGCATATGTTCAGATTCTAGATCATGTTTAATGCCCTCAAATAACAAATCATTGTGAATGAGACGTCCGGAATGTTGCCCACCCCCTACTCCAAATACCCGCTTATGTTAAAGGGCATATTTAAATTTATGGTAACTGAATATATATATATATATATTTGCTCGTCAGAATTGGACATGCCCTAAGCAAAGCACGGGTATTTGGAGTAGGGGGCATTTTCGACACTCAACTTGCGCAGTGAGTTCTGTTGAATTTATTCCAGAAACCTAAATGGGCAATTCGTAGCCTAAGCGGATTTTGGGCGTAGTTGTAACCCTTTGGTGGACACCATTTAGCTCTGGATTTGAATTTCCACCAACCACTTTTCAGGTGGTTCTAACCCTTTAAAAAGTAGCCATATGGGGGTTCATCAAACAAATCCTTTACATAGGACCATTGGTTGGAAAACCACCAAACAGATCATGCTCATATGTCCCACGTGCTTGAGCGCAAGTTGGCCGGATTTTGGTTTCCCTTTCAACTCTTAGCAGGAGAAATAGCTGCCGAAAACCTCATAGGGAGTCATCCTACCCAGTTGGAGCCTCAAAAGTGGCTGGATATCAACCCCCGACTTCTGATGTCCAAAGGGTCTTCCACTTGCTTACAGCCCCCTGAAAAAAAATGAGACATATGTCCAGTACTCATAGATGTCCATTAACATCAAAAAGGGGGGGAAAAAAACACAACACCACTTCAGCAACTGGACCCTCCTTTGAGTCGTCAAAGACTTCGAATCAGGCCTCAAAGTCTAGCTTCTGCGCACTCGCCAGCTTCAGGCGCAGGGTGATGGGCTGGCGCGCTACTTCCCATGCTCAAAACGAGCCTTCAAACATGGGCCTGTGTTTGGTTGAGGGTACCTGTTTTCTTGGCTAGAATTAGGACCCCAGCAAAATAATGTCTTTTTGGCCTGGTTAGTGGAAAACAAAGGGACCTCAAAAAAGCAAAAAAGAAAAAGAGGAGCTAATTCTGGAAGTGTTGGGGCGTGGTTGAAGGGAAGCTGAAAGGCCACCAATCACTTTGGGGGTCCCCCCCGCATTTACTTTGGGGGTTGACAACCATCTGCCCAGGGACCCTTTCTTCTTTCAACCTCCTACAGGCAATGTAAAGAGAAAGCGGGGGGTTGCGCTGCTGCACCTTTTCTTTTTGCTTTGCAAAGAAAAAACTCGGGTTTGACAGCGCTTTTGTATTTGGTTCTGAAAGCTCAAGATGGCTACTGCTCTATCTTCTTGAAAGAAAAGGAAATACGGTGCGAAACTGCTCAAACAATATTCAAAATGTGCTCTCCAAACGAAACTGCCCCACACCAGGCCCATCCCCTTGTGGGATACGAGCACCGGAAGAAATATATATAAAAAAATGCCAAAGATCCGCCACAACATAGAATTCCACTGGGTGGCTCTCCCGAGCAAAATGTCTAAGCTTTTTGCAGGTTTAGTGGAGCCACTTGGCTCCAAAAGGTCGAGCGATTTGGACACACCAACGAGTCATGTACAGATCCCCAAAGCCTCCAGCTCCTTCCGTTTCTCGTCCGCCACCTGACCGGAAGACTGGCCGGAGGCATGTAACAGGAACATGGTCTTCCAGGGTGGGCCCTGAAAGAAGTCGGTTGCGCAACCTTTGAAAGAAGTGCAAATGAAACGTGTCCAAAAGAAAGGGCTTAGGGCTGACCAAGTTCTCTTGTTTGCCTTTGGACAGTTTTCAGCAAGGGGGAAAAACGAAACAAACCTTGGCTGCCTTAGCCAACTTTGAAAGTGATAGATCCCCTTTCACAAGGATGGCCAGTCTCACGAAAGGTCGGAGGGTGTGGTCAGGCAACGGTTGCATTGGTGGTTCGGGGCATGCTCCAAAACTAATTGAAACCTGCCGCAAACAACCCGACGACAAAAGCAGCCACCCACGACTGCACAACAAGCCCCAAACCCAACAACCAATCGGCCCTAACACAACCCTA